CTTTCGTAAGAGTAATTCCTAAATATTTCATTTTTTTGCTTGCTAATGTGAATAGTCCAGTTTCCCTTATTTCCCTCTCTGTGGTTTTGTTGTTTGTGTATAGGAATGCTATTGATTTCTGAGTATTGATTTTGTATCCAGCCACATTACTGAATTTATTTATTGTATCTAAGAGTCTTTCAATGGAGCTTAGGGGGTCTTCTATGTAGAGTATCATGTCATCTGCAAACAATGACAACTTAACTTCTTCTTTTCCTATCTTTACCCCTTTTATTTCTCTTTCTTGCCTAATTGCTCTGGCTAGTACTTCCAGTACTATATTAAATAGGAGTGGTGATAAAGGACATCCTTGTCTTGTACCCGATTTTAAAGTAAAGGCTTTCAATTTTTGGCCATTTAGTATGATGCTGGCTGTTGGTTTGTCATAAATGGCCTTTATTATATCGAGGTAAAGACCATCTATTCCAATTTTCTGTAGAGTTTTTAATCATGAATAAATGTTGGACCTTATCGAAGGCTTTTTCTGCATCTATAGAAATGATCATGTGATTCTTATTTTTGGCTTTATTGATATGGTGGATTACATTTATTGATTTGCGTATGTTGAACCATCCTTGCATTCCTGGGATGAATCCCACTTGGTCATGGTGTATAATCTTCTTGATGATTTGCTGGATCCTATTTGCCAATATTTTATTAAGGATTTTTGCATCTGTGTTCATTAGGGAGATCGGTCTATAGTTCTCTTTTTTAGTTGGGTCTTTCTCAGGTTTTGGTACTAGAGTGATATTTGCTTCCAGGAATGACTTAGGAAGGATTGCTTCCCTTTCAATTTCATTGAATAGTTTGAGGAGTGTTGGCATTAGGTCTTCTTTGTATTTCTTGTAGAATTCTGCAGTGAATCCATCTGGGCCTGGGCTCTTCTTGGTGGGTAAGGACTTAATTACATTTTCAATTTCAGTAACCGAGATTGGGTTATTCAACAATTTTACATCCTCTTGATCTAGCTTTGGCACTTCATATGCTTCTAAGAAACTGTCTATTTCTTCTGTGTTATCAAACTTTTGAGAGTAGAGGTTTTCGAAATAGGTGTTGATGATCTTCTGTATTTCTATTGGGTCTGTAGTGACTTCTCCTTTTTCATTTCTTATTGCATGAATTTGAGCTTTTTCTTCCCTTTTTAAAATAAGGTTGGCTAGGGGCTTATCGATTTTATTTATTCTCTCAAAGAACCAACTCTTTGATTTGTTGATCCTTTGGATTGTTTTCTTAGTCTCTATTGCATTGATTTCTGCTCTGATTTTTATAATTTCCTCTCTTCTTTTGGCTTTGGGCTTGACTTGCTCTTCTTTTTCTAGCTGTTTGAGGTGTAGCATCAAGTTATTTATTTGTTTTCGTTCTGTTTTCCTGATGTGGGAACTCAGTGCAATAAATTTTCCTCTCAGGACGGCTTTCATTGTATCCCACAGATTCCGGTAAGTTGTATCTGCATTTTCATTTTCTTTTAGGTATTGTTTGATTTCTTCTTTAATTTCTTCTGTGACCCACTGATTACTCAAGAGTGTGTTATTCAGTTTCCATGTGTTTGTGGGATTTTTGCAGTATCTTTTATCGTTAATTTCTAATTTCAGAGCGCTGTGATCCGATAACATGCAAGGGATGATTTCAGCTCTTTTGCACTTGTTTAAATATGTTCTATGAGCTAATATATGGTCTATTTTAGAAAATGATCCATGTACTGCTGAGAAGAATGTGTATTCTGATGTTGTTGGGTGGAACATTCTGTATATGTCTATCAAACCCATTTGTTCACAGGTATGATTCAGTTCTGTTATTTCTTTACTCATTTTCTGTCTGGTCGATCTGTCCCTTGGTGTCAATGGCGTATTAAGGTCTCCTGTTACAATTGTGTTACTGATAATTTGAGTTTTCATTTCTGTTAATAATTGTTTTATATAACTGGGCGCTCTGGAGTTTGGTGCGTATATATTTAAGATAGTTATCTCTTCCTCTTGGAGTTTTCCCCTTACGAGTATGTAGTGACCTTCTTTATCCTTTATGGTCATTGTTGGTTTAAAGTTCACGTTGTCTGCAAACAGAATGGCTACTCCTGCCTTTTTTTGGATTCCTGCTGCATGAAGAATTGTTTTCCATCCTTTGACTTTCAGTCTGTGAGTATCCTTCTGGGTTAGATGGGTTTCCTGTAAACAGCATATGGTTGGATTTTGTTTCTTGATCCATTCTGCTAGTCTGTTTCTTTTGATTGGTGCATTGAGACCATTTACATTAATGGTTATTACTGTTAAATGTTGGTTAATTGTAGGATTCTTATCTCTCTGCTGTTGCATCTTTATCTTTCTGTTCTGTTTAATTATTTGCTTTGCTTAGTGGTTTTTTCCTTTGTGTATCTAAACTGTCTTTCAATATTTTTTGCAGAGTTGGTTTGGTGTTCATGAAGTTCTTCAGCTGTTCTTTGTCATGGAAGTATCGTATTTCACCATCTATTTTAAATGATAGTTTTGCAGGATATATCAGTCTAGGTTGGAAATCATTTTGCTTTAGGATCTGGAATACTTCACTCCATGCTCTTCTTGACTTTATTGTTTGTGATGAGAAGTCTGCTGTGATTCTGATAGGTTTTCCTTTATAAGTGATCTGTCTTTTCTCTCTGACAGCTTTTAATAATCTATTCTTGTGTTGGATTTCTGGGATGGTGATTATTATATGTCTGGGTGTAGTTTTATTTTGGTTATGACTATTTGGAGTTCTATATGCTTCACTGATCCTGATGTCAGTTTCTGATCTCATGCTTGGGAAGTTTTCAGCTATTGCTTCTCTAAATATCCTCTTGATATCCTTTATGTTGTCTCCTTCTTTTTCATTAATCCCTATCATTCTTATGTTATTCTTCTTTGCATCATCTTGCAGTTGTTGAATTGTTGTTTCCTGATTCCTTGTTATTTTTAAAAGATCTTTCCTTTCCTGTTCACTAGCTGCAATCCTGTCTTCAAGGTCTGAAATTCTATCTTCACTTTCATTAAGGCGGTTTTTACAACTTTCAGTGGAGTTTTTTATTTCCTGTATATCTCTGTGCATCTGCATTATGTATTCTGTTTGTTTCTTATATTGCTCATCTAGGGATTCTATCTTTTTGTTTAGTTCCTCCAATTTTTTATCTGTGTTTTCTTTAGATATATTTAGAATCTCTTTCATTTCTTTTATCATTTCTTCTTTTATCTGGGATATTATTTCGAGTTTGAATTTCTTTAAAGCTTCCTGGAGTTGCTTGTCAACTTCAGTAGCTATTGTATCTGACATATGAGGAGGATGGAATATATTTTCTTCTAAATACATTTCTCCTAGGGTTTCCTGAGATGGGCTGGAGGTTTGAGGTTGTAATTTGGTCTTTCGTTTTGTCATTTTCCTATATTTCTGTGTTTCAAGTGTTATTTGAAAGCCTCCTCAGGATCTGTTGAAAATCCCCTTCTATGTTTGCAGCTACTGAGACTCTGGCACCACTCTACCCCAGGCCATTGGGCCTGCAGAACCAATGGCCCTCCTCTGCTTGTTCAGAACTCCGCGGTTCCAGACAAGCTGGGCCTCAGGGACACTGTGCACCCACCTGCCCCTTGGTAGACCCACAGCTCTTGGATTGCAGCCGGGTTAGGGTACTCACCACAGACCGCAGTGCCTCAGGAGCCTGTGATCCCTCCCTGCTTGCAGAGATATCCACAGTCCTCCAGACAACGGAAGGGCCTCCTGCGGGCACTCCGGATCCACCCAGCTCCTCCTCTGCACGCAGATGGCTATGCGCGGCTGGGCACAGGCCGAGGTGCCTCAGGAACCTGGGATCCCTCCTCCTCCAGACAAAGGAAGGGGCTTCTGCAGGCACTCCGGATCCACGCAGCTCCTCCTCTGCACACTGATGGCTAGGCGCGGCTGGGCACAGGCCGAGGTGCCTCAGGAACCCGGGATCCCTCCTCCTCCAGACAAAGGAAGGGGCTTCTGCAGGCGCTCCGGATCCGCGCAGCTCCTCCTCTGCACACCGATGGCTAGGCGCGGCTGGGCACAGGCTGAGGTGCCTCAGGAACCCGGGATCCCTCCTCCTCCAGACAAAGGAAGGGGCTTCTGCAGGCGCTCCGGATCCGCGCAGCTCCTCCTCTGCACACCGATGGCTAGGCGCGGCTGGGCACAGGCCGAGGTGCCTCAGGAACCCGGGATCCCTCCTCCTCCAGACAAAGGAAGGGGCTTCTGCAGGCGCTCCGGATCCGCGCAGCTCCTCCTCTGCACACCGATGGCTAGGCGCGGCTGGGCACAGGCCGAGGTGCCTCAGGAACCCGGGATCCCTCCTCCTCCAGACAAAGGAAGGGGCTTCTGCAGGCGCTCCGGATCCGCGCAGCTCCTCCTCTGCACACCGATGGCTAGGCGCGGCTGGGCACAGGCCGAGGTGCCTCAGGAACCCGGGATCCCTCCTCCTCCAGACAAAGGAAGGGGCTTCTGCAGGCGCTCCGGATCCGCGCAGCTCCTCCTCTGCTCACCGATGGCTCTTTACACATAAATTTTAAGATAATCCGGAAAATTGAAGGTATGTGTTCTTTAAAACAAACCAAGCCAATGGCTACAGGCAAGACAATGCAATTGTTTCAGAAAGAAATTCAATAATGTTTCTAGAGATTTCTGGAAATCAAAGTGAAAAGCTGAGCCAAACAATGTTAAAAGGACAAAGGTGCCAAGACTTGTCCATTTCAGACAGGAAGCTCAGCTCTCCATTTTAAAGGACAGAGAACATTATATGGTCTGGATTTACTTACACATCTGCTTCCTGCTGCTCCCTGAGAATGCTGGAGAAGGGAGCTGAGAGACAGATCAAAGATGACAAGAGGAAAACATATGTTTATGCCTCTGAAAACTAACACCAAAAAAAAAATTTGTGCTTAACCATCTCCAAGATTATAAAAAGTCTTAGGGATGGCAGAAGGTTCAGATTAGAAATGTCTTACCTGCAGAAAAACTCCCATAAATCTAAGTTTTGAATTCTCTGAATTCTTTTTATTCGGTTGCGATCCATTGTTTTCCCAAAAAGACTAGCAACTTCATTATATTCATGTGTTTGATTGTGCAGAGAAATGAGCTAGAAAGAGAAGTTTACAAAGTTTTATTAGGTTGCTTCCCAATTTCTCCACAGGAAAGTTAGTTCTGCTCTCACCTGGTAAGGTACTTCAGTGTTCACATTTTCCCAGTGTGGTGGCATAGGTATAGCTTCATTCTCACAGATGTAACTTCAAATAGCAAAGATAAAACAAAATATCAGAAGCTGATTATAATTATTGATGGTTAATTAGTTTTCTCACGACAGGTGAATTTTCATAGTTAGGCTATCATGATAAATGTAACCAAGTGTAGTCTTTGGTTTCTTTATTTAAAACTAATCATTGAATGAATGTCTCTTGTGTATTATGTGTTAGGTGCTTAACTGTGAATTTTGATGGAAAATATACAACCACATATTTACCATCAAATTTCAAAAATAGCCTAGAATGGTGTACAAGCCTATAATCCCAGTACTCTAGAAGACTGACGTAGGAGAACTGCCAAGTTTAAAACAAGCTTAGGCAGGTTAGCAAGACCCTAACTCAAAATAAAAAAGGGCTGGGAGTTAGTTCAGTGAAAAAGCCTAATTTCAATCCTTCATGTCTCCAAAAAATAAAAAACAAACATACAAAAAATTAATGGAAGAAATGAACAAATCCTAAATCTATACAATACTAAGCTTATATATATTCTTAAAATTCACTTTCAATTTTGAAAAAATAAAGTAATGTAGAGACCTCAGAAAGCAGAGGAGCAAACAGCTCTGTGCTAGGCTTCTCTCAACTCTGGGTTACATTGGGAACAGGTCCTTTCACTGTAGCAAAAACTCCAATGAGGAAATAGGAATAAAATGCAGAAAGGAACACTTTGTAAAGAAATTTCCAGAAACACCCAGACACAAAGCAGGAAATGAAAACCAAGAACCAGGAACAAGCCAGTTCACATAACCAGTGACCAAAAACCTCAAGAGCTTTCTTCAAGGTTGGGGATTTCTGGACCATGAAGCATATATCCCAGTGAAAAAGAATCAAGTAATGTCAAGAAATTCCCCAGGGTTTCCACCAGAGGGGCAAAAAGGAAAGCTGGAAAAAGTGACTGTACTTGCTGCTAAGTCTGCAGGATTTATACTAGACTATTTATGAGGCCAACGAGAGAGACCAAGGAGCCAGTCTTTACAGTGTCTCTATGGAAAGGCAAGATCCTGGGATACAGATGGAAAGACAGGGACCTCTCAGGTCCTCTCTGGGAAGACACCACAGCATCAGACCCAGAACTACGGCATGCCCATCTTCAAGGAGCAGCTCTGTGTGCCCTTCCTGTGATGCTAACAGAGGATGTTTGGATACCTAGATGGGTGCCCTGGAACATGAACCCTCCATGGGCACTTACACACCCATCTCCTGCCTCTTTTCCAGCAGTCTCTGTCTCCTAGCAATAGTGGTGGTCCTCTTCCAACTCTGATCCATATCCTCAATAATGAGAATCAGAAACTCACCCCATTCTGTCTGAAGGCAACAGAATAGCGCAATTCTGGAACTGAGAATCCTTTCCTTTCCCCAGCCAGGGAAGTAAGAAAAAAATATGGAAAAATTTTTAAAAAGTAATACATGATCAAAAATGAGTAAGTATAAGTTCAGCATTTAAGGTAAGCAGGAAAATTGAAGGTATGTATTCTTTAAAATAAAACAAGCAAATCGCTACAGCTCACTTCTGTAATCTCCACTACTCATGAGACTGAGGCAGAAAGATTGCAAGTATGAGGCCAGCCTGGGTAACCCTGTCTTGAAAGAAAATGAAAAGGGCTGAGGAGGTATAGCTGAATGTAGAACACTTGCCTAGTATGAGCGAGGCCTCAGTTCAAGCTCCAGTACCACTAGAGAAAAGGAGAGCACATAGAAAGCAATATACCGAGAGAAGGGTCCCTCACCGCCTAGCTCTTATTCGGCCTCAGCTCCAGGTAATCACTGTTTTTAGTCTCTGAGATATTCTTTCAGAACCCTAGTTAGCAAAAGCCAAGTTCTTCCCCACATACTCAGAAGCACAAAGCACCTATTTTCTGAACCCTCTTTTTCACTTTATGTATTCTTACCAAGATCTTTCAACACTGGTACAGAGAGAACCTGGTACATAATAGGCATTCAATAAATACTGGCTAAATAGATACATGCATTCTGTCTTACACTGTATGGGTTTGTTGTAATTCACTTAAGTAGACCCCTACTGATATACTTAACGCTGTCTTTAACTTTTTGCTACTGTGCTAAAAATCTATAAAGAAAAAGTTTGTCCATCTGTTGCTTTAGATACCCACTAGTGTACCTGCAGATCAATATCTTTGAAATGAAATTTCTGTATTGTAGGTATACAGTTATGCATGATTCTTGACAAATAACTGCCAAAATGCCATCTTTGAAGGTTATATTTCATATCCTCACAAGTACTGAAAATCTCTATTTTCCAAAGATCTCTCCCAAAAATGTTATTAAACTTGTGCATTTTTCTCAATTTGACAACAAAAACCTGACATTAAATTGTTTCTTTTATAATGAATGTGGTTGTATAAATCAAATTCTTAGCCCATCTTGCTCACAGAAAGTTCTAGAAGAACTCAAATACTATAGGAATTGTCCCTTCAATTATAATGAATATTTTAAAAACAAAAACAAAAATACCTAACTTCATAAAATTATAATGAATTAAATCTTTTCCTAATTTTTTTCTCACTTTGCCTAAAGTATTTTTTAACTATAAAAATTTTTTTTAAAACTTTGTGTTCAAGTTACAAAATCACAGCATATCACTTTATGCTGTGATTTTGTAACTTGAACAACTATTTATAAGAGAACAACATGTAACTTATCAACTAGTAATTTCTTAATGTTAATATTTTTCTTTGAAATTCTGTATTCTACCCTTTTTTTCTGTTTTGTCTTTTTTTTTCTTTAAATAAAAAAATTTTTGTGTAGTAGCACAGCATGGTAGTGCATGCCTATCTGGGAGGCTGACATCAGAGGATCAAAAGCTCTAGCTCTTTCTGTGCAACTTAGGAGGACCTTGTCTCAAAATTAAAGGAAAAAAAAAGCAATAAATAAAAAGTGTTGGGATACAGGTTAGTGTTAAATTTCCAGGACCACATACAAAAAAATTAAGTATCCATAGCTTTAATTTGCTGCTTCTCAACAGAAACATGTATTGTTTGCCTGACTGGCTCATTACGTTCCTACAGTATATATACATTTCTGTGCCAGCACCCATTGACCTGCTTCACTCCAGTGTTCTTGCTGTTTCTCTCCTTTTATTCTTCTCTTGCTTTCTGTTAAATTTTCTCCCCCTCTTATCTATGTTCTATGATTTGTACAGTCTAGGAGAAAAATGTGTCTGACCTCCACTTGTGCTTCTTCCCTCCACCAAAGGATTAGCAGATATAATAACACACAATTACAGTAACATATGCCATCATTTTTGGTCGCATTTTTCTCCTAGAATATATACTGTTTGAAGACACATACATCCTTTATTATATTCCTTGTATGATTTAGCTATTAAGAAAATATCTCTGGGGCTGAAGATTTAGCTCAGTGGCACGTGAGTTTGATCCCTGGTACTGATAAAAAACGAAAAAGACCAAAAAAAAAAGAAAAGAAAATATCTCTATATTCTAGATAAGTATTAGAGCATTAATTACATACATACCTGAACACATTTTAAATCTTGATACTAAAATATAAGCCAAAATTTTTGAGAAACAAACTGATACAAATTTAAAATATTTCATTCTTCATTCTAATTCCTTAATTTCTTTCTTTTGCTCTAATCCTTTCAAAAGATCGCCTTGGAGGAAGTAAAAGACCCTGTCCACAATTCACATTATATTTTTTTTTCAGTTTCATTTTAAATACACTGAAAAGGAGGATTTTTAATATTTGCCTGCAGAATCATTTCAAAAAATTGGAGACATGCTCTAAGACTTTCACTTTAATGCCATTCATGTGCATAATAAATATTTATTCTCTTCTGGCAATTACACCTCTTTTTTTCAGATCATATCAGTTCAGAGAAAGCAAAAAAGGAAATGTACAATCTGGATCGAGGGAACAGAGGACTGTCCCAATGTACAACCATCTTCCTTAGGTTCCTTCCATCCCTATAGACTGGAAATTATTTTTAGGTCTGCCCACAGGGAAATCAGTGGAAGTGCAGACAAGTGGGCACTTATGTTTAAGATTTATGGTCCAAATAATTAGAGGATCTGTGAGAGTATTTCCAGGTGAAATTTAAACTTACCTCAGTGGTTTATTTTAGTAGAGACCATAAGGAATTTTGTAACTGCCATGCACATTGTTCTAAAAAATTGAAAAACATAAATATACAAGAAAAAGGTAGAAAACAGCAGGAAAGCAAACAAAAATAGAATATAATCATTTCCTATTTCATCTACAAATGAGATTTAATATTAAAAAGATCCATTTTAGGATCAAAACATGACCTACCAAAGTAATGTCAGCCTGTTTTTCTATTACATAGTAAGAAAGAGAGGGGAGAGAAAAATCTCACTCTTTCTGCAGCTTTTCTCTGTACAATACCTGAAAGCAGTGATAGAAAAGGGAGCTCTTTTTATTAAGCGCTGTTTTCCAGTGGTGAGATTCGTTTGCTTCATTTCTGTGTACAAAGACAAAGATATCATATCAGCCACAGAAATGTACCGGCTATAAAGTGCCGTGAGGATTAGTAGGCATGCTACACGACATGCTCAGGAATCATGGTGCTCTGGGAGTAACTGACAAGCACAATATATCAGGTTCCCTCAACACGCAGCTATTTATCATGTCACAGATGTGCTCAGGAGAGCACAGCATCAATGCATGGTCTGAGTTCATGCACAGGGACGTTAATTTCAAATCCTGCTCAGTATGCAGGGTGTGCTCCTTTCTGTATCACACTGAGGTTAAAGTGACACTAAAATACAAGAGCTTTAACTTAGTAAGGTTAAGAGTACTAGAAAGACAGAGAGAAAAAATAACATAACACTTCTGTTACTAAGTAGAGAAACATTTTAATTTCTCCAAAATATTTATGATTTAAAAAGATACATTACCATTAAAAAACTTGCACAACTCACAGAATCTCAAAAATCATACATCATGCCCTCTCTTACACTGTATACCTAAATCAAAAAAATATGAAACCTAGCAAGATCCGACACATATTCATATAAAATATTCTAGGGATTAAAGATTAATTAATTACAGTATCACTTTCTTCTTTTATTTATGCCTCAGCCTGGGCTATATGTAGCAGGCCCATTTCTTCATTCCCACAAAGTTAAGCATTATGTTCTCCTGCAAGCATCTACTTGACTTCTCCATTCCAAAATGAAGGGGCTGGCTGACTACCTGAGGCCAGTGCTAGTGTCAAGTACGTTCCGCCCTTTCTGTATTCTCCTTAACCTGGCGCACACAGGCATGGTCCCCTCAGTGAACAGACCACAACCTGCAGTGCTATCCTCTTAAACCCCTGCTGTTTCAGCTACTTTTTGTCATTCTTATGGTGAAAAACAGAGCTGGTTAATGACAGCAGGACTGGGGCTAAACACCTTGGAAATAGTGTATGACAATAATCATACTTCTAAAACAGGATCACATATAGAGAGTTGGAAAACTTGAGTTATTAGTATATATGACTCCTGTGATAAAGATATTTTTAAACTTGAATTTTCTAATAGAAAGCTTTCAAAAAGTATAGTTTACGAGAGAATATTCTTTGCAAAACATGTGACCAACTAAACTGTCTGCCAAATATCTTAACAAACTTCATCCTCTTCCTGAAGCCAGAAGCCTGAATAAATCACTCTGCTTTAATAATAGCTCTTGTATGCAAGCCTATAAATGTGTCTCCAATATTTGCCTAGATTGCCACAGAAATACAAGTGTGAGGATTCTCTCACTGGTAGCTTATTCAAGACCTGTCAATGTCAATAAGAGAAAGACCTAGTAAAACTGCTATGGTTTTAACTTTTGATGATAATTTTTTTTAACAATAGGAACAAGTTTGGCAGGACAGTAACTATAAGATGCTTGGGTACATCAACTTTTTCCTGGCCCAAGCCTCTTCACCAGTTCTGGCCAAGGCTCATATCCACGCAAAGTTTGAAAAGATTTCCCCACTCCCCACAACAACACACTATGACTAGAGTCAGAAAGATACAACTCATAGAAACTGGGACAGCAGGGCCAGAGGACTAAATTGTATACAACAAAACACACATTCCTTACGAAAGCCTCCCCATCTTGTTTGCTTCTGGCCAACAGACAGCAAGTGCTTGCTGACTAAAACCTAAAGAGATAAATCCAACAGGCTCCTCATGGGATAACTAAAAACACCCCATGTACCATGGGTAAAACCCAAAGTGGGGCTGATTTCCAGAATGGGTGGCTAACTTATGAAACAGCCAATAATACTAGGAAGTGGAAGATGGAGCTAGGTGTGGTGTGTGTGCCCATATGCCTATAATCCCAGCACTCTTGGTAGCTAAGGGAAAAGGATCACAAGTATGAGCCTAGCCTGGGCAATTTAGTGAAACCCTATCTCAAAAAAAACCCCAAAAGACTAGGGATGTTGCTCAGTGTGAAGGACCTGTGTTAAATCTCCAATACTGCAAAACAAAACTAAAAACCCAACTTACTGGCAAAAATACCCAGAGAAAGGTCACTAGGTTACCCTTTGGTCTTGAAACTATTATCAATTATCTATTAACATTCTCATTTAACCTCTGTTTGCACTTTAAAGTAAGAAGGTTCCTAATAGTTTCAAATCTATTTTCAGAATGATGAGAATCTACTTTCTATTTTCAGAATGACAAGAGCTACAAGCTGGGTGTGGTGGTATGAACCTGTAAACTCAGTTACGTGGGAGGCTGAGGCAGCAGGATTCTAAGTTTGAGGCCAACCTAGTTATCAAGACCCTGTCTCACACACAAAAACCTATAAAACATTTTGTATTTCTTAAAAGATAAGCATTGTATGAACTCTAAATATGATGCTCTCCATATATATTAACACATATAAACATGCCTTTATAAAAGGCAATGTTGCTCAAAATTTCAAATCTTGAAATTTTATACAGCTATTTTTTTGTGTAACAAAAAGGATTTACTTCAGTGTATGCAAATGCATCAACTTATCCTGGTCCTCAGAGCTGCAAATTGTACTGTATCAGAATACTAAAAGCACACAACTATTAAGGAAAAAAGCATACCTGCGAAGTCTATCTTGTAGCTGAATTTGGAAGTGGTAAAAGAAACGGAGCCATAAGGGTTTGTTTTGAAGCTTTTCTCGATATCTTCATTGCTGACTGAACACTGAATGCTGGCATCCGGCTTTAAGACAGACCAGAGAGTTTCGTTTACCAGCTGCTCATTCTAGTGAGGTGGCCACAGAAGTGGTGCTGGAGGAGTGAGGAAACTTATAGAACCTGTTCTAGTTCCCAACACATGGAAGACCAAAGCTAAGGTAGCTCACAGAAAGCAGTTTGAAGATTTTTGGGGGGAGGTGGGAAGGGAATCCAAACTGCTTATGGTTGGTCTCCTTCAACCACTGGTAATAGTGCTTTTTTATAATTGTTACAATTTTTACAAATTATCACAATAATTATACTAAGAGGCTGTAATTAAATCTTCTTTATAACCTTGGTACAGTTAAAAAAGATACAGGTTTTTGAGGATGGGTTCAAATCTCAGCTTACTTCTCTCTGTGACCTTGGATAAATAAATTTTTCTAAGTTTTACTTTCTTTAGCAGTGTCGACATCTGGCAGAGTTAGTGAGAATAAAAGAGAAAACATGGCATTTAGAAGGTACTTAATATGGACTTGCTGTTACCTTTCTCTCTTTGGCTACCAGTTCAAACTTGGAGTTGCTCAAAAGTAAATGCACTGAGCTCACATAACACTGGCCCTCTTTACACAGTAACACCTACTGTTTCTTCTAAATGAATCACTGTGAAAACTTGGGGGAAAGCAAAAGAACTGGAAGACCTTCTAACTTGTCTGCTAGGTTATGCTGTTTATGTCTTCAAGTTTTGATTTAAGTCCTGCATTCACACTTTGTACCTCAGCAAGATGGTACTACATGAACCTAAGCCCTTTTTATTCCATGCAAGGGAGATGTACCTGAAACATGTGCCACTTCCCACATTCTGCAAGGTAGAACCAGCCCCACTGTGTATCTGATGTATCCATGTCATCCGCTCTTGTGTCTGTGGTTTGGGATATGAATTCTTCTGCTTTGTGTAACATCTCCTGAAAATCCAGAAATAAGTGGAGAAAGAAGTGATTTTATTAATAACGGATGTGCTTTTTATGGCTCATTATACTTCTTTACAGAGCTCAATTCTAATGTCTTTCCCAAGGTGATGCTTTAAAAATAGCATTTTACCTTGCACGTTGACTCTGAAGATGAACATTTTAAAATGTTGAATATCACTGCTTAACAAGTCAGGCAGATAATAATCACTTTAAGTGCATGCGGAGCACTTTTGGTAAGCCGCATAAATGAACATAAGCAGTTCAGATTTTTCAAAGTTCATGTATTCATTCAAAATAATGTAAGCCATCACAACTACTAAAGATCAAATGCATCTAATTTTTGTTTAAATATCATTATTTTACTTAATGGCATAGACAGATATTTCCAATAAAAGGTGTTTGGTACAAAAGAAGGTTATAAAACTCAGAAACAGTAAGATCTAATTTAAATAAAAATATATTTATACTTAGCCATACAAACATATTGCATATATATTTATGCACATGAATAGAAAAAAAGTCTAGATATATACTTCAACTTGCCATAAGGTCTCCCAAGTGTTAAAATGATGGCAACAACAAAAATAAAAACAACAATGGCTAACCATTATATGGCTCTTTGCCAAGTGTTGTTTGAAGAACTGTAAAGATAATGGATTTATGGGGCTGGGGATTTAGCTCAGCGGTATAAGCACCTGCCTTGTAAGCAGGCGGTTGTGAGTTCAATCCCTGGTACCGATAAAAAAACGAAAAAGACAAAAAAAAAAAAAAGATAATGGATTTATGCATAACAATAGCTTAGGTAGGTACTCAGTATAAAGCAAGAAATACAGGCAGAAAGTTCATACAATGAGAAAGGAAAGCCAAGATTCAAACTCAGGTACACTGGATTCAAAGTCTGTGTACTTAAATACCCTGTTAAATTGCCCTATATCTATCAATAATTTTGTAGCATTAACGATACTAAACTAATTAACTTAGGTACACATTATCAATGAAAAGTCTTAAACAATCTTAAATGAATATTGTGATGATGAAGTCAATAGAAAAGGGACAAAAGCAGGCCAGTCACAGAAGATTAAACCTTTTCTGGAATTAGCTTTCCTGCCCTCATTCTTTAAGGGTTTTTAAATTATTGATTTAAATTTGCACAGATAACATACAAAAACATTCTTCTTGGAGGGACAGGAGTGAGAACATACAATATAAAGCTAAAGATTTGTTTGACCACCACTTCTATTCCTGCATCTTCTTAACCTCCTTTTCCAAGGTTGATCAGTGCTACCATAGTACTGTATACCATTCAGATCTCTCTGTCACACACACACACACACACACACACACACACACACACACACACAAAGAGTTACCAGTAATTCTTTAAAAACTACATTTTATCTATCTTTGATTTTTTAAACAAAGAACACATACTACCACATAAATTGAAGGATATTTGGTTCCAATTTCATTATATGACATGCCCACCCTGTTTCTAAATTTATGGAACCCAGGATAAGGTTCAATTATTTTGTCTTGACTGTAGACCATGGTTTCCTCTGTACAATGTAGAACATGAATGGCTCCCTCTCTTTACGTGGTTATTAGAACAATAATGAGATAATCCAGTAAATACCAAGTACAATACCTGATCTCAGTGAAGGGGGCTTGTTATTTCTGACTTTTTATTTATATTTGGAAACTTTCTCCAAAAAATGGCTTAAAAGTGTTTTCTGGTTTTTATTCCTTCATGTTTTAAGCTGCTAATAAATAGCTGCTAATAAATGAAAACCAGAACACTCTAGGATCAAGAGCTTCAGGATCAGAATCCACTATTTATCTTATATCTATATTAACCAGAAAATAAATACAATGATTTAACATAAAGGTACAACTGTTCAGATAACTATTCAAAACACCTGCTTCTTCCTTTCATTACTTCACATCTTTCAGCCATTTCACTGTGAAAGACAAAGAAATCAAGATGGATCTAAACTTTATTTTTCTTCTATAAATAACTAGAAAAATTTGGAATGATGAGCTAGAAACTAATAGTTAAGATAAATATTTAGCTAATGGAGTCTATCTCTTCTCTATTAGAAAAGGGAGGTGGAAAATAGAACAGTATCCTTTATATGATGTACAATGCAGTATGTGTGCTATGCTGTAACCCACAATCTCACATTAAGTCAGGTTACAAGTGAACATATTTGGACAAGCCCACGTGGTGACACACGCTCATAGTTGCAGCTACTCAAGAGGCTCAGCCTGAGCCCCTCTGTGTAACATAGTGAAACTCTGTCAAAAAAAAGAACGATAGAAAGAGAGGCAGCAAGAGAAAGAGCAGAGACAGAGACAGAGAGACAAAGGAAGGAAGGGTGGAAGAAAGGAAAGAAGGAAGGGAGGGAGGGGTACATCGAGAATAAATTTAACAAAAATTATGTAACAAAAATTGTTCAGAACTCCACATCATAAATAGTTATGACTACCTACATCTTTTATCTATCACCATTTTAAAGAGAACACCACTATACAGTTACCCTCACAGTGAAAATTCCTAAAGCATTTTTTATAAAATCATTTGTCAGCTTATGTTATTTCTACCTCCACAGCTCAATGTACAAGATGGAAAAGTCATTACTTTTCAGTTAAAGTCAGGAAAACAACACAGCAGATAACATGATCAGTTTGTCTAGATCACAGAGTTAGTGGCATAGAGATTACAAAAACACCCAAGACCTCCTGAGCCTCAGTTTTTGTCTAAGTTATCAGAACCACTGCCTCCTTTTCATAGACAGCTATTCCCTTCTCTGTTGCCAAAGCTTAATTGTTTAGCTTCACAGATGGGTTGGCTTTCTTTCAAAACATTCAGTTCATAAGACTAATTCTTACAATTTTCCACAGTAAGTTTTCTCTCCAAAGAAATTATTATTCTGAATAATTAGCCTCAAAGAAAACTCAGGTTTAAATTAATAAATCTAAGATGCTATAATCATAGTAATAGTGGTTCTAGTCAGAACATATGTATAGGTAATAAAAGAACATGTGCAAGTTATCAGTCATGGAACAAGCACTCAATAAATGTTAGATAAATGAATCAGTTCAGTCACAAAGCCATATTCTGCCTGATTTTCCTGTTTTTAACTGAAGATAATGACACTTCCTACACAGGCCATAAAGAAAAAAGAGCTAAAGTGACAAAACATTTTGTACATTTTTAAGTGCAATGGGTGTGTTGGTGGAATGATGTTTTCCATTCCCAGGAGAATCCTTATGACAGAGACTGGGAATAGTCAATCTGAATGACTGAATTAAAAAGCTATGTAGAAAATAAGTTTAGAGTTGAAGTCCTGGTCTATATATGAAAATAATGCTGCTTTTCAGACTGAGTACAAGCTTTCTGATAAACTTTTATAACAAAGCATAATTTGTTGGTGTAAGTGCAATACATTGAGGAAATCACACTTGGTAATGAAAATATTCTTGCCACTCTATTTAACCAAGATACAAAACCTGGTATCAAAAGCCTGAAAATGGGATAGAACTTGAATGCCAGAGTAAGCAGCTCAGTGGGCCCTATACTCAGCAAATATACCTCTTAGCTGGTGAAAATTATTTCTAAAAACAAATATTTAAAGGATCTAGAAACTGTCCAAGGTCATAGAAAATGGAGAAGCATCCATTTAAGAAAGTTTGCTGATTCTTAGGACAGATGAGTGGTCTTACATCTGAGTTTTGACCTGCACCATTTCCTCTGTTCCATCAGTTCTGATCACCATTGCACCATCCCGGCTAAGTGCAGCTGAACGACGGGTTCCATCACCCTCTTCAGACGTCGACTAGCTCATCATGCAGCAGAGTAACAGGCGGCACTGTTTCTCATTCCCTTCAACTCAGAGGTGCAAAAGCTCTCTTCCAGACACAGAGCGGTTTCTTTCCTTTGTCTTCCCAGGACATCAGTCAAATGGTGGAAGGTCTACTCCAAATGGGGCAGGCTGGGAATGCCATGCCCTGATTGCCACCAATTACAAGAACCAGTCCACAGAGACCAATCACAATGTTCCAGCCAAAGAGAAATTAAGACACACTACCCAGCTAATGACCTGCCCAGTGCACAATGTTTCTACTCACTGCTTTCTGTATCTCTTTTCCCTCCTTACAAAAAGCCCTTTGGCACACACTGAAGTTCCCTAATGTGGTATGTTTTGGGGGGACAGACCCCCATCTTCTTGGGATGCTGGCCCTTGAATAAACCTGATTTCCTTCCCCACCATCTCTTGTCATTTGAGTACTGGCTTTTGAGCACTGAGTAGGACTAAATTAACTAGTAGATAAATTTGGTCAAGCAATAGAAGAAATTATTAAAATGAACCAAAAGAAATTCTGGAATTGAAAAGTGTTACAGTGAACAACTTTCAAAAGCAATTCTGGAGTTGAAAAGTGTTACTAGAGAGGCTCAATACTAGATTTAAGCAGCAAACTTGAAGATGTATTACTAGTCCACAGGCAATAGGTATATACAATCTGAGAAAATGTGTCTCAGGTAATTACTATTGTGAGACCATCACAGATTTACACAAAGTCTACATGGTATACCATGGTCAATCCCTTGTTGTGGCCTCAATGTGATAGATATATCTAAAACATGAGATGTATGAGATTGCTGTTGGTGTAAGATGGCATGATGATTCATACTACACTTACTTTTATAGATAGAATACACTGTAAACTAATGATAAAAATAGAGCGCCTACTACCTAAGACAGCCATAGTCACTTACTATCATTACTGAGAATTATACACCACATACACAATACTGTGCTATACTTCCATATGACTGGCTGTTTGAAGGTAGTGTGTTCACACCAGCGTTACCACAAACACACGGGCAATGTGTTGTGATACGATGTGACAATTGTCACAATGTCACTAAGTAACAGGAGTGTTTCAGAGCCACTGCAATGTTACTGGACCATCATCATGGTGTGGTCCACTGC